GCCAGCTTGTCAGGCTATGGTGCAATTAAATACCAGTGAACAACTATCAAGTATGCATAATATACACATAATAATGCAGCATAATTCAGGATTACAATTATACAAATATGTTGGTTGACTAATGGGTTCACCGGAGGTGGTCTGACGATAAATGGGGAGTTAACAGCGTCATACACAAACACTTATACCACGGCACTAATGATATATTTGACAATCGTGCTTGGTTCATTTGATTTCTTGAGCTACTTCAACCATGGAGTTTTTTTCCTATTTGAGTCGTTTTAACTTTTTTTCGTCCCTCTCCCTGCTTTGTAATAACGACCGAACTCATCCGAGAACGTCCGATCATGACTAATTAAGTATTCACGTCCAGTAATCCCCCCATAAACCCGAATTAGTCGGCAGAAGTCATGGTAACAATAGCATCAAAGGGAGTTCACTCTCCTTTTTTTAGCTCTATGCTTCAACGAACTGGCATTAGTCACCCTGCTAACAATTCCTTGTCACAAGAAATACAATCTAGTTATTATACCAGCCCTGTGTGAATTGTGAATATGTTTATTACATGGGGTCCGGTGTATTGCCGAATTTTAAAAATGTATTTTTCATTACAGGTGAGAGAGTCTAGTAGTGATATATGACCAGCCATGGTACATGTAAATAAAGTCAACTTTTGAAAGTAATAAATACCTAATCCATCAAGTGAACTGCCTGACGTCTAGAGAATTGGTTTAACCCTAATCTTGTCTACCCCTTGTACTTTTACATATGCATGTACATGTACCTCGTTTACACGAAAGACTCATTGAAGATCGAGCTAGCAAAAATGAACGTGTATAGATGTTTAGGTCTAGCCTGCCGAGTTCGGTTCAAATAATCTTTCGGGCTGAACTGAAATAGATTCGGTTCCAGCTTCTTACCGCTACGCTACTGTGACCTGAGCTGTGACTCAGCCCCGGGCGACCACAGTCCCTCAACTGTGGGGCGACCGATGAGCTGCCTGCCAAGCCACTTGCGTCCCCAGTGTATCGGTGATGACAGTGTATAACCACGGTTACTAAAAAAGCAACCGTGCACAAACTTAGTTCAACCACAGTGCCTCTTTAGATAGATGGACTGTGGTTTAACCGAAAACACTAGCAAATACATTAAACTATTTTCCTAGTGTCTTTGATTTAACGCTATAAAGACTATATGCGGTGAAAACAAATCATGGTGGGCCAATTCGGTTTTTCACATCATGGTAGATCTCGACATGAAAAACGAGTCGAGATGTCCAGCACCTAGCCCCAAGTACAGGCCTGTAGGTTGGCCTTCTTCACAGGGGGCCGAAAGATCAGCGGAAGGAGGCAAACCAACAGGACTGTACTCAGGGCTATCCAGGACCCACATGGTATACTATAACTACGCCATCGAGATTGTTTCACTGTGTTTTGACGAAACTTCGTTCTTTCCCGAAATAATTGTGGATAAACAACTAAGTTAAAGCGCGGTGGTCGTCGCGCAGCGCGTGTTCGGATTTTCCGTAAACAAACATTTTACATGCGTTGCGTACGTCGCTATGAGTCCCATATCGAACAGGAGGCGGTGCGACGACGAATACAATTATCCCGATCCCAAAACTCACCGGCACCAATATAATAACAAAACCCAATTGAAAAAAGCCGTAATCCAACTGTTAAACTGTGTACATTTTATGTCACTGTTGGGTAGAATGGTGCAATGAATTTGAGTTCTGGGTCATTGTCAGTTAAACTATGCCCCTGTGCTTACCGGGGGCAATAACCGTTTCACGAACCGAACACGTTAAAGCGAAATTTTTCGTGAATGCAAAGATTTCTAGACGATACGGCTCTGGTCGGTTGCGGCCCTCGTAAAAAAAGTCGATCCGGCCCTGGTATAAATTATATTCGATACGTGTTCGTATCTAATGTTAATATATTAAATGCACGAATGTTTGACTATCTTGTTTAACAACTTATTTTTGTTGTTTGCAGGGCATTTTTCACGATTTTCCGTGAATGCAAACTTGGCATACGGTCAAGTTTGTATTCATGTTTGCTTTGGTCGGTTGAGCTAACACCATCCATCAACAGGTGGTTGAAGACCCCACCCCCTTCTTTCCACATATGGCATATCGCAACCATTGGTCTATTGCTAGGACATTGAGACAATGTTCGTCGAAATCATGTGTTGTTGAGACGACTGAGTTTACTGGTAATTACGTGTAACCGACAAACTAACCCGGTATTATATAGGACAACGTCACACTATCAGTACGCCCATATATCACAAATACAAGTACACGGTACATCACTGGCGTTATCGATCATGATAGATAGTCAAATGCGAAGCTTACCAACGGAGTCTCGACATGAACTTGACACTACATGTACTGTTATTCCCATCCTTTCTGTCACAGCAAACATTATGTGAGGTAGACTATTTAACACTCTTTTGGACAAAGCATCCGGTATTTCTCAGAACGCAGACAGTGACAGTGTACACGTATTTCACTACTACCCCGGTAGTACACATGTATTGAATCACAGGGCGGGACGAGTTCTAAAATAAGTTATGTCGGCTAGTCGTGCGTGACTGTGTCACGAATGTTCTAAACCTTCAACTCGACTAGCTTGGTCGTACCATAGAGGTAATCAATGGCCATAGTAATTTAATTGGCCGGTGAACGAACCACGAAACATATACATTTTATTAAATGAGTGAACGCAGTGAATTACGCGCAGGCAGAGCAGACCCACCCATAAAATCATTAGTTCGTGTCCCAGTAAATGCCCGGTAATTGTGACGAACGGACTATAGATGAGACATAATCCACGGTGAACGGGCCGTGGTTATATCCAGGGCTTCGTATTAAGTAAATGTTTTGGTCCGTTAGTTGTTGTGTGGTTCGCTACCGATGACTTAATGAGAGCAGAGGTCAGTGTGAATTTACATTCAACAAAAACGAAAGTCAAGATCTTGAAATTCTTTGTTTCAATGTTTGTTTAGTTTGCATTTGTCCGGTGTAAACAATTACTTTAAACCAGTCCACGCTTTTTCAGAACAATCAAGATTAAAAAATACCTACCGGTTTCTAACTCGATGATGTCCTTTTTATTGTACCATACGTACCATTCACGACTCGTATTCGCTAATTACAGTGGCAAAGCCTTGCTGGTTTTCCACGTTCCACAACACTGTTAGACCATTATTACCTCCAGGCACACGGTTCCAAGCAATGCTCTTCTCTGTCGACTGTTTAAAGCGTACAAGTGTCCAAAGCAAAACAGAATTCTAACTTACATTCAATACGGGTTGTCGGCAGACGAGGTTTCCACGCGGCACAACAACGTGAATGTCGTGGTATTATATGACCACTCACTCCCCGGAAACACTCCAACTGTTACCTTAATTAGCATACGGTGACGTAATCTCTGATAAACCAATTGAGCATGATGCGAGATAGTACATTTTCACATTTGAAAACAGTATGGAATATTAAATTGCAGCTTAGTTTTTTTTTGATGGGCACTTCTCCCGCAACAGAAATACAAACGACATTAGCAATGTACTATTAGCCTTAACTGTCATTACACGTATATTACACAATGCAAATACATGCAATTAGAGTTGAGCTAATCACAGTTACTATAGTAACCATGGCTTTGAGACTACGCAATATAAACAGTATAATATATTTGTTTTACCAATAACTCGTGCATTTACAAGCACGGTATATTTATTATAAGCTGCCAATAACTTATATGTCAAGTCCGCAATGCGCGAGTTATTATTGCAAAAATAACTATGTCGTGCTTGACATTCAACAAGTTATTAGAAAAAAAACAGGAAAAGGGAAACACATATAATATATATATATATATATCACTATATAATGACATAGGTCACGCAGCGCGGGTCAAATTTCGGGAACATTAGTATAGTTCTATAAGTAACAAAAGTAGTGACGTAATTCTAGGACCAGTCACCCATGGAACTATAAACCATGAGTCACCATAGTAATTGTAACACGGTAAAATTTTTCACGGAGGGCTAATCTCTGATAACTATTGTAATGTTAATCGTAACCATGTAAGTAGGACATACTCTGTATTTGAATAGATTTAGACATAGACCTTCTAAGGTTTATGATTTAGAACAGTAACGGTGAGTCGGGACGAACTAACAATGTAAACACAATGTCACTTCATAATAGACCTACAAGGCCACGGTGGTCGAGTAGATTTCTAGACGATCCGGCCCTGGTCGGTTGCGGCCCTGGTAAAAAAAAAGACGTTCCGGCCCTGGTTTGGACGTTCCGGCTCCAAAACAGTTTGGTCGATCCGGCCCTGGTATAAATTATATTCGATACGTGTTCGTATCTAATTTTAATATATTAAATACACGAATGTCTGACTATCTTGTTCAACAACTTATTTTTTGTCTTTTGCAGGGCATTTTTCACGATTTAACACTGTGTTTGACAGTGCAACAGATGTATGTTCATTTATTCACTGCCGTCTGCGTGAACCACAGACATAAGAACATACATCTAATACAGTCCGGTTTTGTCAGGGCTCGAATGCACATTCGTGGTTTGTCGAGTAATGAACGTTAATATTCACAACTTATTTTCCGTCTTTTGTAGGACTTATCAGAGTTCATGGAAACACGATTACTTTTTTAGTAACCGTGATGGAAAGAATGTAGCCAATTAACACTTAAATCTTCGCACAATGCAAGGGCCGTACACATCTTCCAAAGTTCCAGTCGGGCATGGTGTCAAAGTACACACAATCATTGAAATGGTAATGAGGAGTGTAGCAAACAGGTCACTTGACTCCAGCGACAAGGTGTCAAAGCACACATGAATAATTAAATACATGTACATGTAGTCACAAGTGTAGTGAACCATTTTTCTAATCAACGTGATTTAGTATCCAGCCAATGTAGCATTAAATCTGCTGTTTTCAATTGAATTTATTTGTAACATTTCCTTGCCTAGTTTGAGTTATTTTTATAATCAGTGGGACTAATATAAAGCGACGTACCTAACATAGAACGATTTTTGTTATTATCAGTGGGACTAATATAATGCGACGTACCATAACATGGGACTGTATGAGTGTGTGAACGACATATTCATTGTTCATAATATTGACCATTACGTACACGCAGTATCATCAGTCACATATCCACTTCTATTCAATTTGTTAACACCTTCCTTTAGCTGTGAATTTTTTTCTTTAAACAATGATCTGCCACCAACCAATTGGTCATTGTTTGTAATTTTGCTTATAAAGTACGAGGCGACAAAGTGAGGCATCTTGCTACATCGTTACGTTCCGACTTCTGTTCTTAATTTATTCACGTAATTCCCCATGGAAACACATTCAAACAAACAAAAAAAATGCGGACCCTGAGCACAACTGAAATGTATTGCTCAACAACCGGAATTCGAACCCTGACTGAAACTGATTGCATTAGATGTGTATTCAAGTTATCTGCCTGCTATGGTGTGAAAAAATTCCCTGCAAAATAAGTTGTTAAACAAGATAGTCAATCATTCGTTGTGCATTCAACATATTAACATTAGATATGAACACGTATCGAATATAATTTATAGCAGGGCATGACCAAACTGTTTTGGGGCCCCGGAACGTCCAAACCAGGGCCGGAACGTCTTTTTTTACCAGGGCCACAACCGACCAGGGCCGGATCGTCTTTTTTTTTACCAGGGCCACAACCGACCAGGGCCGGATCGTCCTGATACCGTCGAGATTATAGGCTCTTGAAATGTGAATAAATTACCGACATCGTGAAGTTGTTGTTCCACTGGTGACTCATTCAGGCAGCATGAGTTGATGAAATTGTGAATTGAATTTCGGCCCCAGGCACTTGGTACGTTTCGGGAATAATAAACAGGAGCTGGGTCAGGTCAGGTGTTGCGCGGTGAAGATATATCTAGTTGCTGATATTTTATTAGTCGTTGCCATCACTAAAAATAAACAGGGACTAAGTGGTATAACATATTTAGCCAGTCGCCGATATAGTCTTCGCCAACACTAAAAAGAAAATACAAACAAAAAACACAATATATCCTTCAAGAAATCCTGCTTTCCCCTTTCTTCTTATCTTCGCCCCTAAAAACATTACCCGCGTACACCGTTTTAACATTCCCCCGGGCATGTCTCGATTTATGCGGTATTTCAGCCGTTTTAGTTCGATTAAAGTTTGTATGTGTCGATCAATAGTTTATACCAATGTCATACTTGAGTTGTAGCAAGCAGCAGGAACATAGAACATAGAAAATCGTTTTATTTCATGGTCGAAAAGCATTCATACAATGTGTATTTTTTATTTGGAGTGGCGACTGATATTTTGACTAAGCATAACACTCTCCCTTTAGCTCTTGTTCATTATCCCAGTAAATTAACGCAACGAGCGCCTGTGGTTTCGACCCAGACGTTTTCCGGAGCGGACGTTCCTGCATCAAATATATAACATTCAACATGGTGTTTTTTCTACACGCATAGTTATAGAATATAATATTTCCATTATATGTGTATTTCTGTATTTTTTGCAGTTTATTATGTATCAAGTTGGCTTAGAAAGAGGGGATTTCAGCATATTTCTAATACCGAGAACTTAGATATTTCGTTTTTTTTTTTTTTGTGGTGGTAAAGTCTGGTCTTGACGAGCTATTATGTATTGTATCAGCAAAATATTAACGTCACTACCATATCAACAATACAAACCATTATCAACATAGTGGCACTAGGCCGATACGCTTCCGCCTATGACATAAAGGTGCAAAAAGATTAGTTGGATCTCTTGTCTAAGGTTGGTTAATATTGCATTGTCTCATATATCAGACAATAGTTTTGATATTCTTTTGTAAACAGCCGCCGAGTCGCAACTGTCTCAAACACGTAGAGTCTCAGACTCATAGAACGGATGTGCGGAGTCTGAAGTTCGAAACTCCGTCTACAGACGCGCGTTAAAAATTCAAACCTGAGAACACACACGCATACAGACTTACTGTTTATTACACAAGTGTGACAGAGATATCGTACACGTGACAAAAAAGTGTTTCTGCGCCACCGAGGTTTGTCCATAGACCCTAGATTGTATCAGTTTGTTTGTAGCGTTATTAGCAATCATCCGAAATATTGGTAAACAATGAGGCACACATTTCTGATAAAATATGCAAGCATTTATTTCACGATTATTTTTCATTATTTAAATAAATACATACAAAAAATATAATTATTATCGAACGTAATACAGAATTGTCACACACTTGTTTTCCTAAAGGCGTGAATTTGTTTCATATTGAATTTTTAGAAAAGTATTTATGGCGATTGAAAACAACTTGGCCAATCACAAGCATAGAAAGCCACTGCGTCCAGTTAACCCTTGACCTCTCATTTGACACTGGTCCGCTTTGGCAATTCAATGTTCTGTGCCAAACGATAATGGTACAACTTGTACTTGCATTTAAAAAATATATATATTCGAACGAATAGCTGTAGTTTCAAGCGTTTTAAACACATTTGATGTGATCTATATTTTTCGTTCATGGCAGTAAATGGGTCGATGATTCCCCCCCTCCCCCCCGCGGAAAACTGTTTCTATCACCAATGGAATCATACTAGTATTCTTTGGATTTGAATAAAGCGCGATGATATTTCGGAATAAATGTTATATGAATATTTATAAATGTACATAAAATAAATTCACACTTTTATGACTTTCAGGTGTATCAATATTGTTATTTATATCAAATATAATGCAGGTGTCACTATAGACCTTTTTGGGTCGGTGATGTCACGGCTCACCACGCATAGTGGAAATATTCGTTCACTCAGAAATGTTGACACTCGTGACATTATTTACACCCCTCCGCACATAACATGTGCAGTGGCGGGGGCACGGGGGGGGGGCAATCACCCCTCGTAAAATATTGGGGGGGGGTCGCCCTTCCAAAATCAAGCTGAAACCCTTTGTGTCAGCAAAATTTCCCCCGAACCCCCTAGTAAGATCGCGCCTTCGACGCAAGGTTGGTGGCAGATCTCGCCCCCTCAAACACAATTTCCTGCCGCCGCCTCTGATGTGGCAGTAATCAAACCAAGTAAACATTTCACAGTCTTATCATAAATGTAAACACACAATGTATTGAATCCTTGGCAGCATTCATAATGCACGAAAATGATGCTCAGCCATCTTGAATCAGACTCTGGAACAGGTGCATGTACAAATGTGTTCCATGACGTATGTGTAAAGTTTGAATATGATCAGTTCAACAATGTTAGCAATATGGCTCCAAAATAGCATTTGTTGAAAACAAAAAAGGCCAACAGTCGGTCATTATGTTTAATGGATATAC